GGCGGCGTCCCGGGTTCCTTGTGGTGTCCCGCAGGAACGCGCGTTCGGACGGCGCGGGCCCACGCCGCGGGCTCTCTCGCCGCGTTACGTTACTGCTTTGAATAGAGAGTGTACTGGAGCGGTGCTCCCTCGCGTCTGGCTGTGAAGCCAGAGGCGTTACTTGGTGACTTTTAGGTGACTCCGACCCTCCGTTGACGAGGTCCATAGCGGACAGTGTCTCCCGGATGTCCGGCCCTAGGCCATGAGCTGGAGCTTAGAAGTGGTCCAGAAAGTGGACTCTGCAGTCAGCCAGACCCCTCGCGGCTAGGATTTCTTGCTGTAAAATGGGATAATAATACTACCTTGCAGAACTGGAGTTGGGAGGAAATGAAATACAGACGCGGAACNTTCTTGCTGTAAAATGGGATAATAATACTACCTTGCAGAACTGGAGTTGGGAGGAAATGAAATGCAGATGCGCTAAGCATGAACTGGGTACTTCAAGTTAAAAACCAACAGTTAAGAGCAAACCCTAACGAAAAGCAGCGAGCTTCTCTGTTTCCCAGCTAAGTTGGCGCCTCCTAGTGGCAGCATTGTGAATGAACACTTTACACAGCCTGTAGGAAATTACGCCAGTTTTGACAAAAATTTTTGATAAAGTGAAACATCAATATATTTTAAATTTACATAAAATGCATCTGGACCAAAATGTGTTTGACAAGAGGTCTGGCAATTAGTTAGTCTTCAATGAATTAAAGGTTTTGTTATTAGTGTATAACCCCCACCAGTCACTATATGCCTTTTAAATATCTCCGGAATCCATCCACTTCTCTCCTTCTTCCATTATGTGCCCAGAGACCTGTGCCCATGTTCTGGGTTGTGCTGGTAGCTGACTTGGTTCAGGCCACTGTCCTTTCTCACCTAGACCATTTTAACAACTTCCTCAGTGCTTCCCCTGCCTTATTCTTCCCTATAATCCATTCTCCCTCCTGACTGCAGGTCCTTTCACACCACTCCCATTCTTTTTCTTAATATGTTTTTATTAATTTTAGATAGAGAAACATCAATGTGAGAGAGAAACACCAATCGGCTGCCTCCTGTACACTCCCTACTCGGGATTGAGCCCACAACCCTGGCATGGGCCCTGACCAGGAATCGAACTATTGACCTTTCGGTTCATGGGACTACGATCAACCAACTAAGCCACTCCAGCTGGACACACCACTCCCATTCTTAAAGCCCAGTGTGGCTCCCAGTGCCTTCACATTCAAGCTCTGATTCCTTGTCCTGGTATTCAAGGCCCTTCATGAGGTCATAGCAGACACTGAGTCTCACCTCTGGACCTTTGCAAAGGCTGATTCCAAACTTGCAATGCCCTGTAACAGCCCCATCATCCTTCTAGTAAATATATACCTATTTAATCTTCCAGACCCAACAAGTGTTAGTTTCTTCTGGAGGCCTTCCCTGACTCTCAGGCTACAGTCTTGAGGTAATTAATGAGAGAGACAAGAAAGGATAGAACCCTCAAGAGGCCAAACTTTCTTTCAGTGACTATTCTTCAGTGTATGAAGACAGACAGCATCCAGAACCGAACAGCCCGTGCTCTGGGCAACTTAGCCATGGAACCTGAGAGCTGTGGGGACATCCATTCTGCTGGTGAGAAGGCTATGAGGGTGGAGTTGGCCAGGGGTTGGGGTGGGAGAGGGACTTGGATGCTTGCCTTTGCTCACTCTGTGTCCTCCCATTCCCTCTCCAGGTGCTGTTCCCCTACTCATTGAGAGCCTGACAGCCTGCCAGGACTCACAGTGCCTGCAAAGTGTGGTCCGTGCCCTCCGCAACCTGGCAGACTCACCCCAGCACCGCCTGGCCCTGGCACAGCAGGGAGCAGTGCGCCCACTGGCTGAGCTTCTGGCAGCTGCCCCAGACCCTGCACTGACCTTGGCCCTAGTCCGTGCCCTCCTGGAACTGAGCCGAGGCTGCTCCCGGGCCTGTGCTGAGCAGCTAAGTCTGGGTGGGGGACTAGGGCCACTGGTCAGCCTGGCCTCCCATCCCAAAAAGGCAGTACGCGAGGCAGCTATCCTGATCCTTGCCAATCTGTGTGCCCAGGGTCTGGTACGGCCTGCACTAGGCAATGCTGGCGGTGTGGAGGTGCTACTGGGTGAGCTCCAGAGGCGCCGGGGCCCCAGTGGGGCTGGCCCAGCCTCCCAGCAGCCCCTGGTACGGGCTGTGTGCCTACTTTGCCGGGAGGCCATCAACCGAGCCCGGCTGCGGGATGCCGGTGGTTTAGAGCTGCTGATGGGTCTGTTGCGGGATCCCCGTGCCAGCGCCTGGCACCCTCGTGTCGTGGCTGCTCTTGTGGGCTTCCTCTATGATACAGGGGCCCTGGGCCGGCTACAGGCTCTGGGTCTTGTACCTCTCTTGGCTGGGCAGCTGTGTGGTGAGGCTGGTGATGAGGAAGAAGAGGGGAAAGAAGCTGCTTCCTGGGACTTTCCTGAGGAGCAGACCCCTGAGCGGGTAAAAGCTGGAAGCTTCCGAAGCCTCAGGTGAGTCCCTACCTGAGCTTTGGGTTGGGGGTTTGTGTCTGCTCTGGCTCTCTTCGCCACCCTCATCCTATTCTGTCTCAGTAAGACTTTTATTGATTCTGACACCTGATTCCTTGTTTTCCCCAGACATGACCACTTTCTAGTCCCCATCAAACACACCTTCTTTCCCCTGGGTCCACCTTTGACCTTGACTCCACCCCCGGACCTCTGAACTTTGGGGTCCAGACAGGTTCACTGGAACGTAGTATGTGCACTGGTTGTGATGGTGTGCCCTGGAGCCTAAGCTCTTATTTTGGTACCACCACTTTGAGCTGAATGATCATGGGGAAGTTAACTTCTCCAGGGCTCTAGTTCCTGGTATGTAAATGGAGGGTAACAATGCACACCTTCCCCATAGAGTTGCTGTAAAGATTAAATGAGGGCCTGGCCGGGCATGGCTCAGCGGTTGAGTGTTGAACTTGGATCCAGGCGATCAGGGTTCGATTCCCGGTCAGGGCACATGCCCAGGTTGTGGGCTCGATCAATGACTCTCTCATCATTGATGTTTCTGTCTCTCTCTCTCCCTCTCCTTTCCTCCCTCTGAAATCAATAAAGATATATTTAAAAAAAAAAAAAAAAAAAGATTAAATGAGGGCACTTTGCACCTTACCTGGGACTCAGCAGCACTCCGTAAACGTCGGCCTCTTGTGTACTCTGACTTCATACCCGACCGCTCCCCTGGTGTCTCCTCCACCCTTGCACACTGGCCTCCTAGCTAGTCTTTTAACATGACGTGTCTGTACCATCTCAGTGTCTCTTTGTTGCTGTCCCTCTGCCTAGAGCACTCTTCCTCTTGTCTGTCCTGATTGGACCTGACCTTCTCAGTGGGGCTTCCATCACCACTGCTTTTAAATGTCAGCCTCTCCCTCCCCTCTCTCCTCTCTTCCTTTTCTTCCTCCCTTGTACACATCACTTCATTGACTCCCCACCTAAAATGGGGCTTGGCCCATAACAGGCACCAGTCATTGCTGAATGAATTCGGGCTTTCCCCCTCCTCTCTTTCTTGCCTTTCTCCCCACTGGCCACTTCCTCTCCTAGGCTTCTGCCGCCTTGGCTCTGGGTCCAGTCTCCACTGTCTCCTCCACAGGTCCTGGCTGATATCTGAGGGCTATGCCGCAGGCCCAGGAGACATCTCTCCGGACTGGTCTCCCGAGCGCTGTCCGCTGCCTCTGCCTCCAGAGCCGGCCCAGCCAGCCAGCCCCGCCAGACCTGCCCGGGGCCCAGCCTTGGTGCGGACGCCTCGAGGCCGCAGCCCTGCCGCCCCCGAAGAGCCTTGGGGCCGCGAGGGGCCAGCGCTGCTGCTGCTTTCCCGCTTCTCCCAGGCTCCAGACCCAAGTGGGGCGCTGGTGACTGGCCCAGCCCTGTGTGGCCTGCTGGCCTACGTGACCGGTGCGCCGGGCCCGCCAAGCCCACGGGCACTGCGCATCCTGGCGCGCCTCACCTGCAACCCCTCCTGCCTCGAGGCCTTTGTGCGCAGCTACGGGGCAGCACTGCTGCGCGCCTGGCTGGTGCTTGGTGTAGCCCCAGACGACTGGCCCACACTGCGTGCCCGGCCCCTCAGTCTGCGCAGCCAGCACCGGGAGCTAGGTATGTCCCTGTTCCTTTCTGCCCAGTCTTCCGCTTATGCCTTCAGTGAGCCCAGAACCTCACCTCACCATGCCTCCCTCTCTCACTGCCCTCTCAGCCCACCACCCAAACGACCCCAGCTACCAGGAATGAGGAAGGGAGGGCTCCATCTGGCTCCATCCTACTCCACCATCCCAGCCTGCAGAGTTCTGCTCCACACTTTGCCCAAGCCTTGGGGCCCAGATACCCCCAAACCAGGCTTAGCCCCAACAATTTGGAATTGTGCCTATCGGCATTTCCTTCCCCAATCTACTTTTGGTTCTGCACTGTCACTGACTTGCGAACCCAGTCTAAGGCACCCACCATCATTTCCAGCACTACCAGGGACTTCCCTGCCTCCTGTGTCCTGTTTCAGTCCTGAGAGCCCTGACTTACTCCCTGACCACCCCACTTCCTGTTGCTGCCCTTGACTTCCAATTCCTAGTATCTGGGCCCCATCCGTCCAGGGTCTGCAGCCATCCTTCCTTCCTGTGCCCTGATTTCTTGCCCTGAGCTTTTACCCACCTCCCTTTCAGGGGCCCAGAAGTCTGTGTTGCCCATCCCACCCCAATCTTGGACACCAGCTCCCAACCTGACCCACTCTGCCCATCCCTGCAGGTGAGATGCTACTGCAGAACCTGACTGTGCAGGCTGAATCGCCCTTTGGAGTGGGTGCCCTCACTCACCTCCTACTTTCTGGGAGTCCTGAGGACCGTGTGGCCTGTGCAGTGACCCTGCCCTTCATCTGCAGGTGAGGGGGATGTGGTGGTGCCTTACATGGGTCAGGGGAACAAGGTTGCTATTCCCCAGTCCCACTCTTTTCCACCTTCTGAAAGATTCCCTTTCTCCCCAAAGGAAGCCTTCTCTGTGGCGCCGGCTACTTCTGGACCAGGGCGGCCTCCGTCTCCTCCTCTCGGCACTAACTCGGCCAGCACCACATCCACTCTTCTTCTTCTTTGCTGCAGACTCCCTTTCCTGCCTCCAAGGCCTGATGTCTCCCACTATGAGCCCAGCCCTCCCTCCTGCAACCCCCTCGGACCTAGACCCACCCTCCCCTTGCCTCTATGAACCTCTGCTGGGTCCAGCTCCCACCCCAGCCCCTGATCTACACTTCCTACTGGACTCCGGCCTACAACTCCCTGCCCAGCGAGCTGCGTCATCTGCTGCCTCCCCTTTCTTCCGGGCCTTGCTAGCTGGCAGCTTTGCCGAAGCCCAGATGGACCTGGTACCTCTTCGAGGCCTGTCACCCAGCGCAGCCTGGCCTATTCTGCATCACTTGCATGGTTGCCGGGGCTGTGGGGCAGCCCTGGGGCCCATTCCCCCACCAGGCCAGGCCCTGCTGGGCTCAGAGGCTGAGGAGGCTCTGGAGGCTGCTGGCCGTTTCCTGCTACCTGGGCTGGAGGAGGAGCTAGAAGAGGCGGTGGGCAGTATCCACCTGGGACCCCAAGGTGGCCCAGAGTCAGTGGGTGAGGTATTCCGCCTGGGCCGGCCCCGGCTGGCTGCCCACTGTGCACGCTGGACACTGGGGCCAGGGCAGTGCCCACGGAAGAGGGCCCTGGCCTTAGTGGGGCTTGTGGAGGCAGCAGGTGAGGAAGCAGGTCCCCTGACTGAGGCATTACTGGCTGTGGTGATGGGAGTTGAAGTGGGGAACAAGGGTCCCAGGCTAGGTTGTTGATATCCCCTCGGAGGGGACCCAAGGACGAATTGGCAAGAAGGCGGCCTCCTTCAGAGTGGCACAGAGAGGAGGCTAGGCAGAGGGAGTCACCATTCAGGACTCACAAGAGGATGGAACTGGACTCCAGGATGATGGGCTGAAGAGTCAGGAGTGAGACACCAAGGCCAGGGTCTGGGCATGAGGCCTGTGAGGTGGAGAAAAGCTCAGGGCCCCAGGCCCCTGGTCTCACCCAGTCTTCTGGAGTTGGGATTAAAACTTTGGAGTTGGATATTCCTATTGTGTTTGTGTCTTTGCTTACTTTCCTGTGGGCATCCCCTCACCCCTTCACCCATCAAGCAGGGTCTTGTTCCAGGTCTCTGTATCTCAATACAGGCCATCCTTTACATGTAGGAGTTTAGTGAGTAATATGCAGTGGTTCCTGGAGCCCTGGAATAGAGTTCCCAGGCTTCTCCCTAGGATGTGGTTTTGAGCCCCAAGGGAAGTCTGCTTCTTGCTCACGTGACCTCATTGCTCAGATAACCACTCAGCTGGACACAGACCTTGGTCAGGGCTGAGAGGGCTGTGCTGAAGGAATGAGGTGAGTTTGGCGATATATGGCAAAGGCCTTGGCATTACTGTTTTCTGAGTGTCCATCCCCCATCTTGGGCCTTCAATCTCTGCACCCTTTTTCATGTCATGGGCCAAGTGTCCTCCTGCTGTTTGCCTGAAGGAAGACCTGCTGTGTTCCTGGAATCCCTGAGGCCCTGTCGTACTCATGCCCAGAGAGAGCCAAAGCCCTGGGCTGGCATGTAGGTGAGGATTTGGTCTCCAGTGCAGTGCCTCCATCACTTGACTCCCAGATACTGACCACTCAGGTGCAGCCTAACTTGGAGACAAATGCCTGGACTAAGTCTGCCAGCTACCTCTGGGGAGCTAAGGCTGTCACTGCTGTCTCTCTGCCTCTATAAGTGTTTGTCCAGGTCGGATTAGGCTGTGCGTTAGAACCACCCAGAGAGCTTTTGAAAGATTTACAAATATTGATGCCTGAGCCCTTTCAGATTGATTTGGGCTGAGGGAGGGTGCCCTAGGCATCAGTAGTTTCAACCCCCTCCCAGGTGGTTCTGATTTGCTGCTCTCTTGTTTTGTTCTGGTTTTCCCGATTTAGTTTAATTAACACGGCCTCCTGCCTTATAGGAAAAACATGAAATTAAGATCAGTTCTTGTACCGATCTCAGCTCAACATCAGGGCTATATTATAAGAGAGGATTAGCAATTATAACTACACAATTGAGAACCATCTATGGCACTATGATTCTTATATTTTTTCTGAATTACAGCCTTAAACAAGGGTTGTACCCTATTCTTCCCTCATTAGCCTTGTTTTAAGCATTTACTCCATTTACAACAGAACGTTGTATACCTCGGTTCCACATCCAAAAACGTGTGCACACTGCCCACCCAGCATGGCTCAGCAGTTGAGCATCAACCTAGGATCCAGGAGATCACGGTTTGATTCCTGGTCAGGGCACATGCTTGGGTTTGTGCAGAAGGCAGCTGATCCATGACTCTCTCATCACTGATGATTCTATCTCTCCCTCTCCGTTTCTCTCTGAAGTCAACAAAAATATTTTTAAAATATATATTGATTTCAGAGAGAGGAAGGGAGGGGGGGACATCAATGATGAGAAAGTCGTCATTGATGGGCTGCCTCCTGCAGGCCTGCAACCTGGGCATGTGCCCTGACTGGGAATTGAAGCGTGATCTCCTGGATCCAAGTCAATGCTCAACCGCTGAGCCACACCCAGCCAGGAATTTTTAATTTTTTTTTTAAAAGGTGTGCACTGTAAAAAGTTACGTTTTAATTAAAAAGTACAGCCCTAGCCTGTTTTGCTCAGTGGTTAGAGCGCCAGCCCTCGGACTGAAGGGCCCCCGGCAGGCTGCATCCCCAGGCCTGGTCCCGCGTGGGAGGCAGGCAGTCGCCGTCCCTCTCACACTGCGGCCTCCCTTTCTCTCCCTCCCTCCCACTTTCCTAAAAATCAATGGAAAAAACATCCTTGGGTGAAGATTAACAAAATAAATAAATAAAAATCACACATCCAGCTCGGAGCCTGTGTTTCCGTGTGGAATAATCTGCGGTGACGCTTCGTGGTACAGTCGAAACGCACGTTGCGAGCGCTGGAGACTGAGGTGCCCGCCTGGCCTCCGCGCGGGTGGGACTCGCCGTCGGGCGGCGCGGCTGTCGGTCCGTCCGCACCGTCCGCAGCGTCGCCTTCCGCCCCTGGTTTCGCCTTTCAGCCTTAATTTCTGGGGTGAGCGGCCCGGCCCCGAGTCCGGGAGGGCCTCCGGTTCCTCCGGCGGCGGGAGCCCGGCCTTTCTCGCGCCCACCCGCGGCGCGGGAGGCGCTTCTCCGCGCGCAGGTCTGGCCCTTCCTCGGAGGGGCTTCGTCCTGACGGCCGGCTGGGGCCTGGCTGCCCGCGAGTCTCCCGAGTCCGCACGGGGTCGTGCGCGGGTGTCAGTGCAGCTGCAGGTCTGTCCCCAGCCCGGGAGAGGCCCCGCCGCACGGCGCGCCCTTTGTGTCCGGCGCTGGCCGGGTCTCCGCACGGCGCGCCCTTTGTGTCCGGCGCTGGCCGGGTCTCCGCACGGCGCGCCCTTTGTGTCCGGCGCTGGCCGGGTCTCCGCACGGCGCGCCCTTTGTGTCCGGCGCTGGCCGGGTCTCCGCACGGCGCGCCCTTTGTGTCCGGCGCTGGCCGGGTCTCCGCACGGCGCGCCCTTTGTGTCCGGCGCTGGCCGGGTCTCCGCACGGCGCGCCCTTTGTGTCCGGCGCTGGCCGGGTCTCCGCACGGCGCGCCCTTTGTGTCCGGCGCTGGCCGGGTCTCCGCACGGCGCGCCCTTTGTGTCCGGCGCTGGCCGGGTCTCCGCAC